GGGGGGGGGGTATGTAGCTCCTGCCCTGGCAAGTTCAGGAAGCGAAATCCTATTGAGAGAACAGCCCTGGCTTTCTGTTTTGCTGTTTGCCAGCCAGCCACGGTGGCACAAAACGGCACAGCGGGGAGCCACCTTCTGCCAAGGAGCTGCGCTCTGGATCAGGCAGCCGCTTGAGCCTCTGCCCGGCTCCCACGGAGTGGAGGTGGCGAGGAACCCGGAAACCCTCGCAGCAGGAGCGCACACTCGCCTGAGGCCATGCGGGAGCTCAGGAAGCCGCCTTGCCCTCGGCCAGCCCAGTATTGCCAACCCCGGCAGGCATAGGCGGCTCTCCGTAGTTTCTGGCAGAAGCTTTCCCCATCCCTTCTCCGATACTTCCTCCTTGCCTCCTGTCCAGGTGCTAACCAGACCTGACCCTTCTTGGCTTGCAGGATCCGGCCAGACCGTGCCTTTGGGCACAGTGGTGCTTTCTTGGGGTTTGTAGTGCTTCCCTCCAAGGCATAATCAGCTCCCCAGGTTCTCAGTGCAAAAATAATGTCCGTGAAAAGGCCCGTTGGCTTTCTGGAGCGCAGTGCGAGGGGTGTGTGTGTGAATCTTTGAGACTGGCAATTAAGTTTCATGAAGAGCTCAGAGGGCATAGCCGAGGAGGGGATGGGGGCACACCTTTCCCCCCCGCTCATCTCCCTGCACACTCCAGTCCCCCCACCCCTGGTTCATCAACCCGGAAACTGTGGCCTGGAGGTCCAGACCCAGACCCCCGGCCCCCCAACTCTCCATTCCAGCTTTCAATGAACAGGCAAGCGCTTAGAAGGTGCCACTGCTTTCCTGGCACCCCCTCCTTTCTCCACGGTCTGTGCGTGGCCTTTTCTCCACCGTCGTGGCTGATGCGGTCGTCTGGCAGGCAACCTCTCCCTCTTGCCCAGCCCTGCAGCAGTGACTCTGAGCCTCTGGCCTTCCGGAGGATGGGTCGGTATATATGCCAGCCACTTGCACCGGCGTGAAGTTCATGGTGCCTTTATTTCTCTAGGTGACCCCTAGGATGGATAACAAAGAAGGGGAACTCTTGGTGAAAGGGCCTTCGGTGTTTCGGGAATACTGGAACAGACCTCAGGAGACCAGGGACGCCTTTACACCTGACGGCTGGTTCAAAACAGGTACCGTGCTTGGGCAGCAGAGGCCAAAGCTGGTCGGGGGAGCTGGCGCCTGGGCGGGGGAACACCCCACATTCAGACCCTGGTGATGAGGGAGACCCAGAGCCAGGGCCTGTGTTGACTGGGGGATCCAGGTCTCTCTATCACCAAAAAGTAACCTTTGCAGGATTGGCAGTCTCACCGTTTCCTGGGTGGCAGCCTAGAGAGCCTCCCCCCCCTGGTCCCCCCCCCACTAAAGAACTGTGCTGAACTGGAAGCGCTCCTGGTCTGACGTGGAGGGAGAAAACCCCCTCCGAGTCTCTGGATCTCATTGTGCCACCCAGCAGGGGACTCTGTGCAGGATGTGGCCGGTGGCACTGCTTTACATTATCACCTGGTGCCCGAGGGAGCCGGGACAGAAAGGGCCCCTTCCACCTGAAGCTTTGCAGGTGGGGTCCACAGGCCAGCGTGGCACCTGTGGCCGACCACCACTGCAAATGAATTCTTGGGCTCTCGGTGGCGGCCCTGAGCAGAATTTGCGTCACCGCGCAGCTCAGTCTTGGAGAGCCCTCCCGTCACGCTCACATCCCGGGTCAGCCGGGGATCCTGAGTGGCGGGGAGAGGGAGGACCCAGGAAAGGAAGAAGACTCCATCCTGGTTAAAATGACCTTCCAGGCATTTAGCCAGCGTGGCACCGAAGTTCAAATGGTGGGATGGGGGGAAATCCACCTTAGAGTCCCCCAGGGAGCGGTGGGCAAGTCGGCCTCCCTTCCTGGCCTACCTGACAGGGTTCTTGTGTGAGGGAAAGTGTGGGGGGGAGGAGCAGAACCACACGGGCCACCTCAGGCTCCCAGGAGGTAAAGGCAGGCTCTAAAGGGAACGTGTAGATAAGCCATCGGCCCGTGTTTCTCCACGTGAACAGCCTCGTCAGCCCCAAGGCATGCTGATGATCTCTAGTCAAGGGCAGGATGCTTCTGAGTAGCTGTTGCCAAGGAATGGGAGCTGGCTGCTCTTCTGCTTGTGCCTGAGCCCTGACTTTGACAGGCCTTGGGTTCGAACCAGCCCCATCCTTGCCCAGTCCCTGAGCTGAATGCCAGGCGGTGGCCGTCCCACCTCCTTTCTGGACTCCTTAAGCTCATTGTTTTTTTTTGTTTGTTTTTGTTTGTTTTTGTTTTTTTTTTGTTTTTTGCTGAGACTTTTCCAAGTGGTTGTGTTTTTGGAAGGAGCAGGAGAGCGAGTCAAGTTTGGCTCCTTCTGCAATCCTAACGTGTTTGGGGAGATTTTGCAGCTTGATCGTGGGCAGTCCAGTGCTACGGGGCGATCCAGTGTGGTGGTTTTATAAATTATTATTTTTTTAAAAAAAAAGTCGACCCTTCTGATGAATATTTTAGATGCAAAGAAATAGCACGCATTAATTATTGTAAAGAGATGTCTTTAGGAGAAAATCATTTTGAAATTCAGTTTAATTTCATTGTAATGCAGCACAAACAGGAAGGGAGTATGTGTGTTTAATTGGCTCTCGGGGGTACGGCCTGGAAGATGGCTTGCCTTTGTCACAGACCATTAGCGATACAGACTGCATAATGAGAAACTACAATCAGCTCACAGCTGCTTGCTCCTACGGGGAGAGAATGATATTAAATGGAAATCAGGATAAATTAAACTTAACCCTTTCGCTGGCCAGTGTTAACTTCCAAGCTAGGAGGAGAGGTAGACCAAGCCTCTCTCCTGGACTGGAGGTGAGTCGGAAATACAGTAGCTTGGTAGTTCTCGCTCGCACTCGTTTTTGTTTTGTTGGTTTCCTACACTGACAGTCCTTTGACAGAGGCAGGAAGAAAGTGTGGTGGCATCTTGATTGCTTTTCCTCTGGTTTCCCCTTTCTTCTCTTCCCCACCCCCCTGGCACCCCACCCCACCCCGCATGCCTCTGTTTTTGGATCTTTTAAAAATATGTGGTTGGCGATCCATTTCCAAGGGTTGGTGCTGCTGGATCAGAAAGAAAAGGCGAAGCTCAGCCATCCTTGTAAGACAAGCACAGAACGATGCGTCCTCTTCAGTACATTTCAAAGACACATAAACAGAAACATAGGCCAGTTCTGTAGAAGGCATGAGAGGCTCCCCATGTCCTTCTTTTCTTCCCAGTTAGATTCTCAGATATCCTATTTTAAGGTTCTGCTCTTGGAGAGTGAAACTTGCCTCTGTAGCAGTGAGGTCTGTACACGTGTTTAATTTTTTTTTAAAGGGGAGGGGAAGCCATCGAAGGAGTCCTGAGGTGCCCGTCCAGACCAGACCACGCAAGCTCTCAGTTTCTAGCATGCCAGATCCCAAGGAAGAGAGCCAGCGCGTCATGTTTCAGGATGAGCAGCAAAATGGCTGCTGCGCATGGAGTTCTAGAGGATGCATTTAAATGAGTTAAACAGAGTTAATTACTGCTGTAGCATTCCGAAAGAATGCAAATGAGGCAGGCGACAGCTGAAGCAAGGGCATTTACTGACAGAGCTCCGCAGAGTCTTTGGGGGAAGCGACTCAAAAATTTTGCATGGCAGCCTCAGCGCCCGAGCAAACATGGCAGGGCCCTGATTGGTCTCAGGCGCTCCAGTGTATAAAGAAAGCGCTGGAGAAGCGCAGGTGGGAACAAGCGGTGGGGCTGTGCTTCAGCCTTGGGCGCCTTAGGGCAACTCAGAGGAGACCGCCTGAACCTCCGGAGGGGTCGGTCGAAACACCAGGGCCCGTGGGCTCTCCTGCCTTTTCCTGGTGAGGCACCCGGTGGGGTCTCCTTCGAGGGCGTGAGCGGAGGCAGGCGCTCCGTGGACGTGGGAGCCCCACTGGAGCACAATAAGCCCAGGGACGGTGCATTGCTCGGCCTAACGGCTGAGCCATAATTTAGCATTTTGCTGATTGCTGATGACAGTCCTAGAAACCAGCCCGTCAGCAAATGAAGAGTAATTGCCGGCAGGCAAAGGACTCGGTGGTGGTGCTGCTGACATGCTGCCCCTTGTGATGGATGGAGCCACGTGGAGGGGGAGGGCCTGATTCCCAGGCAGGGAAACCTGCTGAAGTCTCCCGGGCCGGGTGTGTGTGTGTGTGTGTGTCAAGTAAGAGGCAGAGGTGGGAGATAGGGACCCGTGGCCAAGGCAGGAGAGCTGTCCATGGTGTGTGGGTGTGTGGATGGAGACCCTGCCACCCATTCTCTCTCTCTCTCAGTTCTTGCTCTTGTTAAGGATATGGGCGTCGTGAGGGCGGCTGCAAAGCATTGACAGCCTGTAGTGCCGGTGGAGGCGCAGCGTCTTCCAAGTCTGGACGCAGGCGGACACCGTTCTGCACAAAGTGGCCTAAAATGGACCGTTGCCTGCCTGTTCCTCTGCTGTTGACCGAGCGTCTGTGACAGAGTGTGGGTGAACTGGTACGGTACTGTGAGGAGCGTGAAAAGGAACCAAGGCCTAGCTTCCCCACCATAAAGCAGGCAGCGACAGGCTGAGAGGAGCCTCCAGGTCCAAACCCACCCCAGCTGTCAGGGGGCTGTCATTGCTCTTGTCTCTTCCATCCTGACCAGGACAGAACTCGGCCTTACAGGGCATCCCTCAGCTCTTGGCCAAACCAAGAGCTTTGCATGGGTTTCCCCCACCACCACCACCACCACTCCCCCCTTGTGAAAGGTTGGGCACGCTTCCTGGCTGTAAGAGCTGACCTTAAAGAGGCTTAACCTTAAAGAGGCTGGTATTTTGGAGTCCCACCGTTTTGCCTTCACCCGGCCCTCTTGTGGGAGAACTTGCCTGGAGCCGAGTCCAGCCCCTGGGCTTCAAAAGGTTCCCTCCCCTTGGGTTAAGAGAATTCATGAAACACTACACACATCGTGCACGCACACATGCTGTAGAAGGCACAACCATGGCACTGCAGTCCACAGAAGTGACGCCACTGTCATCCACAAGCAGAACTGACCCAGGCGCAAACAGAGCAGGCACTTCCAGGTCACTCGAGCAGGCAAACCAAACAACATGTTGTGATCCTCGTGACTACAGTGTGAGTTGCTTGTGTTGACAGTTTTCTTGACATGCTTCGTAAACTGCAGAGCGCCAAGAAACTGTGGTGTGAATAGCAGCAGTCCTTCCGCGTTAGCATCATGCCCGCCTTTTGGAAAGCTATACATGTGTCGGTTGCCAGAGCCCTCGAAAGGCGGGTGCCGCCGTCTCCCCAGAGGTCCGTGTGCTCAGAGCCGGTGGAAATGAACGCAGGGGTTTTGAACGGTTTGCGTGGCTCCAGCAGAAAGAGGGTCTTCCGTCATTGGTGGGGCTGGGCGTCATTGTCCCAGGACGTCTCCTAAACGCACATTTCTCCTGGAGCGGGAACGGCCCAGAGAGGCAAAGCTCTTCATGCCAGTTTCTCCCCGAGGAAAGGCCGGCTCCGTCTGCAGTTGCCAACACAGGCAGGAAACTTGAACCCGAGCGTGTTTGGAGAGATTTATTTTCAATTACAGGTGGAAGCAGAGGCATGAAATAGGGCCAACCAGGAAAGTGGTGCATAAATCCTGTGAGCAAATCCATGTATATCAGCTCCATATAATAAGACTTTATTGATTACTGTATTGTATCTGTCAGAATAAAACTCCCTTAATGCCTGCATCAGGGCCAGGAAGATAGAGGGCTTGGCTGGTAGCAGAATCTGATTCAAGAATCAATGCCGTTTGATTAATATGTCGTTAAGAAAGTAAGAGTTATTTAACTTGTTTGATGTGAACTTTAAAACGGTGACTCATTTCTATTAAGCCTCCTTGCTCTTCAGCGCTGCAAAAACACGAAGCCCAATCAGTGGGGGCGGGGGGGGGGGGGTGGGGCATGTAGCCAAGTCTTGCTTTTTACCGTCCCAGGCTTTTATTCGGTCCCTTCCAGAGAGGCCACTGCCTCCACCTCTCGGGAGCGTTTCACATGCCAGGCCTCTGTGAGCATGTTGGGCAGACGTAAACCACAGGGGCTTGGAGGAGTTCACTATGGACTCTCAGGGTGTAATTTGGCTTTTTTAAAAGATGTA